GACAATAGCCTTCCCCTGAGGGAGTGAAACTATTGAGAGCTGCTGTTCAACATGCTCGTCAAATTACTCAGAAAATTAGGGAAGACAAATGGCTCGAGTGGTGCGCAACCTTTAATGCACACACCAGCCTGAGTGAACTCTGGAGAAAACTCAGGTTAGCAACAGGGAAAACTGCCCAGATCTCCAGCCCACCCCCAGCCACTACAGGAAGCAAATCGCTTGGCAGAGCACTTTGCAGAACGCTCGTCATCAGCTCAACTACCTCCTGAAATAAGACTTCATCTACAGCAAGTACGAATGGAGAGAGTAGTAGTCAGACATGCAATTGAACAAGCTGACACTACAGAATGTCTGTTTACGCATCATGGTCAGCAGGCAAACTCCCGTCAGCTTGGAAAGGAGCAAACATTGTTCCTATTCCCAAACCCAATGATCCCCCGAATTTCAGACCAATATCACTAACAGCTTGCATCGGCAAAACCGCCGAAAGGATGGTCCTTACACGACTCCTCTGGAAAACTGGACCACTTCACCACAATATCTCTGGATTCACCAAAGGTCTCAGCACTGCACACAGTTTGGCCACTCTCCTGGGATCGATTGGTCAAAATAAGGCAATCTTAGTATTCCTTGATCTAGAGAAAGCATTTGAGCTGGCAAATGCACAGCCATTGTAACCACTCTGGCCCGGAAAGGCGTCAAAGGATACCTACTGGCTTGGATCGCTGACTATCTCCAAAACAGAACAGCAAGAGTTACTTGTCAAGGACAAGTCTCAGATCACAAAAGACTGGAAAATGGCACACCACAAGCAGGAGTTCTTAGTCCAACTCTCTTCAACATCCTCATGGAAAACTTGTGTCGGCTCCCCTTTCAAGAGGGTACCAAACTGCTATGCTATGCTGACGACTTAACACTGATAGTAAAAGGCAGAAACCAAATCAGCAGAAACCAAATCAGCAAAGTCCAAAGAGCACTAGGCCTCATCAGTGAAGAATGTAAGAGCCTCGGGCTCAAGATATCAATCCAAAATCGAAAGCAATAAGGATTGGACACAATGAGCCGGTGACAACTGCAAATACAAGGTATTGCCCTACAATGGGTCAATGTATACAAATACCTGGGCATCTGGATTGACAAAAGCCTCAAATTTGACACGGATAAACTATCTAAGAGACCGAATAGGCAAGAGAGTCAACCTGATGAGCCATGACAGGACCCAAGGTGGGTGCGGGACATGTAGTCCTAAGAACGCTATATATACACGCCATTCGATCATTAACAGACTATGCGACACCGGCTCTTAACACACTGTCTGAGGGGCAGTGGGCGAAATTAGAAGTTGCCCAGAATAACGCTATGAGAGCCATTGTCAAGGCACCTATGTGGACAAAAATTGAAAACTTACCCTTGGAGACAGGTCTCACATCTCTCCAAACCAGAGCAGAACGATTAACAGCGTGCTTTGCAACAAAACTGATTACCAGGGCTCGGGAGGGTGACATCAAGAATGAACTCTTACGAGCACTGAACCTTAACAGTTGTCTTTAACAAGAAAACATGGCTATTGTGCGCAGCTGACGCTGTAAATCGACCGAAATTGAAAGAACCCTCAGCAAAGGACCTGATACAAGGAGTCCAGACTACAGCACCCCAGCACCGTGGGAGTCCCCGCCAGCAGTCTTCAACATTCTACAAACTGGGACAAGAGAGGCTGACTGTCACCCACATGAGCTCCGACAGATAGCAGAGAGAAACATGAAGGCACTAACACCTCACAATAGTACAGTGTATTACACAGACGGTTCTGTAGAGACCACTAGTACGAAGGCAGGAGCAGCCTTCACTATAGAAGGAGGTAACACGTCCCTTTGGAGAACTTCAGATGGATGCTCTACTTTGCAAGTTGAGCTAGCTGCCATACTTGGAGCCCTAAGACACGCTTCCATAAACAGTCAACAAGGCATTGTAATACACACTGACTCACGATGTGCTATTGAAGCGCTACAATGCAGAGAGCATAGACAACATTCATCTCATAACATCCGTTATTGGACTACTGCAACGTTTAAAACTACAAGATCGGCAAGTTATCATTAACTGGGTGCCCAATCATATCGGAATCCCAGGGAAGAACGAGCTGATGCTAAGGCTGGTTAGGATAGCGAAACATTGAGATGAACATCCCGCCCAGTCAGGCGCAGATAAAGAATAACACTAACTGCCCTGTGGAAAATAGACAAACATAGAAGATTAACACCTCGACCCCCTGACGGAGACACGATGATCCTCCCGATACTGGCCAGATATTATGTAAATAACATTGATTAGGTTTTAAAGGAAAATCCATCCTTCCTTCCTTCCTTCCATAGGCTTTAGTAAGCCCCTTTATAATATTCATACTGTATATACTTGTCACACTTGCCAGATGCTTCTGGTGTTATTGTACAGGGGTACCTAGTGACAGCACTAGGAGCAGCTTCCTCTATCAAGGAATAAACAATTGAAATTGAAGATGAACACCAGTATCACGATCGGCCAGGTGGTACTACCTGGTCACGAATTACGAGAGACCACCATTCCTGAAGGATATACCAAAAATGGAAGAAATCAACTTCCACCGTCTGAGACTAGGATACCCATGCATTTGGGAAATCATTGTACAAGTACCAGCAGAGCAGCGCATGTGCAAGACCTGCAACAGCGGAGCCGAAAACACACTGCAGCACTACCTCATAGTGCGCCCTGGAACAATTAACTAGGAGAAACATAACCCCTGTCACAGCAGAAAAGGTTGCCAAAATGCTAACCATCAACCACTCAAGAAACCCTACAGTTTCTTACCGAGCATCCACCCCCACGCTAGTGGTGGAGATGTACAGTTAACTAAAGATGCTGGTCTTTTATCCCAGCAGTGGGTGGACCAGCATTTTAGCTTAAGGTCCACGTAGGTACTATTCCCACAAATCTATAATAAAAAAAATCGACAGCCATCGCCAATACCAAAAATAAAATCCCTGGCATCACCAAGGAGATCCTCAGCCACATAAACAACCCGGCCATGGAGAGACTGAGAACCACAATGAACGCTTGCCTGGCCACGGGTTACTTCCCAACGAAATTCAAAGAAGCCATTATTACTCTACCACCAAAACAAGGAAAACTCCACCGTCCCACTAAACTACAGACCGATCTTCCTCCTCGAAGTACCTGGAAAAATCCTAGGAAAAAATCATTAACCGTCGGAGAAATCCCCTTTTAACAACCAACAGTCAACTGCAGACAATTCGGATTCAGGAAAGGGAAGTCCACCACAACAGTGATAGCCCTAGCATGTGAAAACAGCCAGAGCGAGTGGTAGTCAATGTAATCTAACTCTCCGGGATGTAACGAAGGCATTTGAGAAAGTCTGGCATGACGGTTTAAAAAACAAGATCCTCCAACACGGACTCCCCGCCAACATCGAAAAACTGCTTTGCAACTTTCTTGACGGAAGAAGTGCCAGACTGGGGGTAGGACAACACGGGAGAGACCTTCCCACTCATGAGCGTAGTCCCTCAGGGCAGCGTCCTCTCTACCACCCTATATATGTATATCTACACAAGTGACACCGCCTCCCACTAGAAAAGGTAACGAAGATATTATGTATGCACAGGACATCACTCAAATAACACAGCTAGGAAAATCGCGAGCGTTACAGGTCGACAACACCAGGCGGGAATTAGAACGGGTAAATAATTTCGAAAAACAATGGAAAACCCAAACCAGACCCCCGAAATTCAGTGATTCCCTTATGCAGAACGAAAACCTATCCATTAGTACCCAATAATGCCCAGATAGAATACAAAAGCAGAGGCACCCTCCTGGGCCTGCATATATCCACACCAGGAAGGAAAAGGCAAGAAGAGAACAGAGAAAACTATACTGCTTTAAAGCAATACCCAAGAAAATAAAACTCCGCCTGGTGACATTTATTATACCGATATTAACATAAAACAGCAGTACCTCTTCATACTATGAGCACCACTCATTAAATGAAGCCTTAAGATTCGTCACAGGTGAAAGATACCCCCTTCACCAGAACCGAGATACATATGGACCTGAGAATAACACCCATCAACCAGCAGCTGCACATCCTGGTCAGAGCAAGAACTCCTTCAAAGACTCCCACCAGATAGCAGCAACAACCATACAAGGTTCCCAAAAAGCTACCAAATCTCAAAAGGTCCATTACCACCCTCGATCTATACGGCCAGGCAATAGACACCCTCCCTAGACCAGCATCCGCCAGTAGGGTCGGCGGAATATGAAACGAGGCCCTCAAAACACCCATATATGGAATAAGGTAAGCTGTCTGGTGCCTGTGTCGACAGACAATAGCTAGCCCATGACAACCCTAACACACCATTAGCTTAGCTAGGTGGTCAGCCCGCCCTCTCCTACCTCCCCCTAAATTTCTTCAATATCAGAACTTTAACTTCCTTCCCCCACCTCTAATCTTCTTTCACCCCACCTTTCTGGGGAGAGGAAAAAAAAAAAAAAAGGATGTAAAACCAGAGTGAGAGGTCACCCCATTCATCAGCACACCCAGGGTGCCAGCCCAGAGACCAGGGATGGGAACAGCTCTGGTGACCCAGTTATCAGAAGACATGTTGAAACGAAAGTTCATGGCTGGAAGCCCTTCCCCAACACCAACACACAGGGTGGGAAAAGCTGGCATGGCAGTTGCAAATCCCCAAGTAATCAAACTACAAATCATTTGGCAGTATGCAAATATTACAGCGACTCAAGAGAACATGGACCACTTTCCACTGACTTCAAGCGAGACTAATATCTTAAATACTACGCTGTAATGAGATTATGCACAGACGTAGATAACTGCTAACATTTGGGAATAGTCGTTTCGACATACAAGGGTCTTATGCAGGTCCTCTAACTGGTAAATTTCAGTCTCATACTTGGTGTGTGCCTCTTTAATGTGCCGATGATAAAGTACTTACTCGAAGTAACTGTGGTGTTCGTAGGTGGCGTGATGATAGCCGTATTCTTTGTCATAGCCGTATTGTTGTGGCTTCTGGGAGCGCAGAGCCCGGTAGTAGCTCCTTGTCAGACTACGGCAGCGAATCCTCGGCACAAAGTCAGACTCTATACGCTGCAAGACCCTTCTACCACGCTGAAAAATACAGTACATTATAAACAATGATAACAGGACATTATCGTTCACAAGTTGGTAGTAAATTAAGAGCCTTCTAGAGCTTTTACAATCACTGTGCCTCCCAGGCTCCTATAAACTGAAGAAAAAAAAGCATCAGCTCCAAGATTTCACCGTACACGAGGCAGATTTACGGGATACTAATTCAAGAGACCCAGGCAAATTCCTCAGTGACAAGTATTTGACAGTATTTCCATCTGCTGTAATTTAATATAATTATATAAAAAAGATACCTTTGAACTATCGGTAAAGGAGTATGAACTTCCGTGACGCGAGTGTTCAGGCCAACCAACTGTGAAACACTCCCAGGCGCCTGTCTTCTGGTAGAAGAGGTGAGGGGAGGGTAGACAACCCAGCCCCACGTGTGGGTACGAGTTCGCCTCCACCACCTGGTCCAGGTGCAGCAGCGCTACATCGTGCACCACGGAGTCGATAGAAGCGAATCCTGAAAGTCATCACATAAATAATGTCCTTCTCTACTTGTGGACGTCAACAAAACAATCAAAAAGGATTGATATTTATTTGGCAAGTGTAAAGCAACCACTGCATTCTCTCAATTTCTTGTTTAAATCATTTATTACAACACTTTTAAGCTCTTACATTTTTTTCCAAACCTACACCGCCTTACTGAGGGGTGGTGGCCGAGCACCACAACTGTCTGTGGCCTCAAATGTTCAAGAGCAGTCTTTTCATAGCCGGCTGTTGCCACGCCTACAGCAAGCGACGCTACATGTTAACTCCTGGGACGCTAAAACAAATCTTTACAGAGGCTTACCGGGATGTATGATGACGTCAGCCACCGACACCAACATTGTGTCCAGGATCTGCTTGGCGTCTTCGGCCAAGTTCCACTCGCCAAATGACACCTGCCAGATGTCGAGTTGAATTTGGGGAAATGATTTGTACAATTGCTTTGGGTTAAATGATAATTATATCTAAATATTTATGCGACTTTCATATTAAAACTCGACACAGGGATGCTATTAGTGCCCCATGTTCCTCGCCTACAGGTGTTTATCACTCCGTCAGCTTCACAAACTGATACATTATCTGTTATGACGTTCAAAATAATTAAATTTCCATTATACAGCATATGGGTAAATTTTCCATCCAGTCCAACAGCCACAATCACCCACCTCGCATCACACGTTATAATAATAATGGTTGCCCCTCGTAACGAGGATGGCCGGCCCAAGGGCCACCTAAGCGTGAATTTGTTATGGTGTAGAAGCTGTCGCCAACAACAACCAGTTTCAAAGAATAGTCCGAGAAGACCGGACAACTCGCCAACTGCACTGGCTAACCATTACCCCGGAACACAATCTGCAGATCTATTAACATCCAGATTCCCAATTACTGCTGGGTAAACAGAGGGAAATGGCGTAAAGAAACTTGCCTATAGTTTCACCCTGCCCGGGGATCGAACCCGGGTTCGCTCGCTTGCGAGGAGAACATGCGGACCATTACACCACAGGTCGCAACGCAGCTAAACACAACCACACACAAGCATCCATCTCTCCCCACCTTCCACCACTCGGTTAAACACAGCCACACACCACAACCATCCACCTCCCAACAGTTAAACACGAAAATTTATTTAAACCCGCTTATGTTTATTTATTAGTTTTGGGGAATAAAATTAAGTGTCTAGGGGTTTGTAAACTGCATTACTAAGTTAGTGTAGGGGAGTACTTACAGCAAGGTCTCTATTGCCAGTGTAGCTGACGCAGTGGGCGGACGTGAGGACAAACTGGTGGTGTATGAGAGCCCCGGAACACACGAACACCATCACCACACCTTCCCGATAGTTGTTCGGCTGCACCACCGCCACCTGCCACAACATGGTTAGTTTATGCCACTACAGCTCTCGCTATATAGGATTAATCAACGTCAAAGTAACATCACAGAGAGAACTACATCACTCAATCACAGGGCCAGAAAGATTATAGCGGTTCATTGATACACGCATTCAAGGTGTCGGGATGAGTTTAGTCTCGTCCTACCCGAGAAACAGACCTGTTAAATTACAAAGTTGATCTGCCAACAGCAGCAGAGGTCAGGAGGCGTGAGGTAAGCGCAAAGGGTAATCCTAACTGAAGTTGTATTAACGGTTACACAACTTCGTCATTAACAAGCACGATACCAACATCGACTTAAGGTCCGGTTAATGATTTCTAGTCATCCAATTTATCGTCATTACCAATAACTTTAGCAGTTACGTTAATGGGGTAAAGGTCATCTTTTAGGACCGTTTTTCTGGAACTAAGGTATGGGGAAAAAGACCGATAGACTATATGCTGTACAATATACCAGGCACTAGTTGGGAGGAGACAATCCGGTTCTGATCATCAACTTGCCATATTACTTTCACCATATTTCCTCAGTGTTTAGTGCCTACATTATCTGTTTACTACTCGGGCAGATCCTAGCGTTGCTGATACCGAGAACATCTATTTTAACATTTATAAAAGTTCCTCAGGTTATTGGAGCCAAGATTCCTGGAGTGACCCGAGGTTAGAGCCAGGTGCCTTACTTTAATAAGTGTAGACTTAGCAAGGCTTCCTGTAGCTATGGCTGGACTTCGTGGTGTAGCCCAGTGTTGATCTGTTATCGAATTGTCACCTTTACGCTCACACATCCACACTAATGATGGTCACTTCAAAGGTTGTCCTAACCAAGCGACGACCACCACGTCATGCATATACGTTTCTCACCAAAAGCAGCAAGAGCAGACTAAGTATAAGCCCCCAAGGGAGACGGCAGGGTGTAAACACATGCCTGTATACTTTGCTATACTAGTGAAGCTATACTTAATCTCACCAGGCGACTCTCTGATCCAAAGGCAGCTACTGTACCAAGTAAGCCGAGGCAACAAGAGGCCCACAACTAAAGACAACCACCGGGAGTTGATCCTCGTCATTACAGGGCAGAACAATTCTTCCTGGACATCTCTGCTGTTTTGGGTCAATCCCAGGTGTTGGCCCTTCCACACAGCCGCACGCATTGGTTAATCAGGTGGTGTATGTATCCGGCGCCTTTGTACGTCAACAAATAGTGGAGGAAAGCCCACACAGATTTCTTGGTCCTATTTGGGATGAGTGATAAATAATAATGGGCAAAGTTGAGGGTAGGAGGGCCAGGGAGAGACTGCGAAGGTTGCATTAAATTATATAGTCCCGAGAAAAAATCACGGAGGATTGATATAAAGAAGTGGGTACCTGGTTCCTCAGTCAACACGGGTTGTGGGATCTTCGGACTACTGTACAACCACAATGAATATGGTCTAGATACCAGTTGCTTTAGAAGCTGATTAACAATCTAGTTTTAGATTTAGTAAAGCTATAACTAAAGCCGACGATTGTTTACACCTTTCTCAAACAAGGAATGCCAGCGCTGGCAGCAAGGATCTTCAGCCTTCCAGCCTGTGTATTGGCGTGGTTAGAGTTGCAGGATGAAGCCTTTAGGCGTTGGTTTCGCTCTGGTAAATAAGAATCCAGCGAGACCCGAGAGGATATAGTCAAACACTGTTCCTACTAAACAGTGTTCAATAACGAAGTAAGAACTGGTCGAGTACTAACATGCCAAGGGAACTCCCCGTACTGGGCCTCCTCGTAGTACTCTGTCGAGCTGTATCCTGACCTGGCCAGCACTCCACGCTCCACCCGCTGGCCGCACTCTAGTTTCCTTTCTGTTGGCACCACATTTGTCGATCGGCTGGAAAACGTGTAGGTCAAAAAATATTGTTTAAAAAGCACAATCAACGCTGATCAATACAGAATAAATCTGTTAGGATTATTATCACGTGAATGACATCACATGTAGTAATTACTTACATGGGTAGTTCACAGACAGTGAGGACATTCCTATCTGAGCAGTCCTCGGCGGGAAGGAGGTACCAGGAATAAGAATTGATGTTTGTCTTCATGTAGGCGACACAGCTGCGATCATCCAACTTGCTTTGTTTATCTGGTTGACCTTGTGCCCAGTACGACTCGTTGTAATAGGTGAGAATCTTGCCTGTAAACACCCACGAAGGTAAGGGTACGTTATTTGACTAGCACATTATATACAAGGCTGCTCCCATTATGTATACAACAAGATTTCAAATTTTCACAAGTACTTAGATTTCAGGTTACCATTTTCCCAGTGAAACTGGTCATCCTCGATGTCGTAGTCTATACCAATGACGAATTTCCTGTCTTCCACATGAAGCTCCTCCGTCATCATATAGCGGAAGATGAAGTCATGCACCTCACGGCTCGAGATGACCGCCCGACGCTCGCCCAGACATTTTTTGTTGGAGAAGTAGAAGTAGGAAGAGTCTATCCTCACCGGCTGGGGAAGTGGGTGCAAGTCTCCCACTCTGTGAAGTGCTGTAACAGTACCAGGTTAGAATTAGTTTAAACAAAATTGATAGTGGTTTTGTTACATCCATTTTGACATTCAGTATTATGTAGTTTGATGAGCGAGTCACTGCAGAGGATCACTGAACGCCTTCCCCGAGAAGTGGTCCACACGGATCCCGTGGTTTACTACACTAGCAATGCGTTTACATTTATAACTAAAATTTTATGGATTTATCTATAGGTGTTAATATAACGGACCCATCAGCGGTACATACCAGTTGGTGTAACAAGGGTCGGGGCCAGTATAAACACTGCCTAATATTTACCACCATAGTTTAGTAAGCAGGCCTCCAGGCGCATTTTCGCAGCACCGTTTCTATGTACAGTATGTCTGGCGTCAGTCTTTTAGTCAGCATCACGGACAGTCAGGAGCAGTGTATGGGTTTCCAGGAGAACTGGCGAGTTGCTCCAGAATTTAGTTCTACTCGTTAATACTGCTCTCTTCCTGCCATTATGTCCAGCTCAGTACCTCGGCAGCTATTGGGAATATTAACAAGACTTTCATACAAATGTCCTCGTCATCTCAAACGTTTAGCGTATTTATAACTGAAGAAAAAATCAAGGAATGTCAACAAATCACATTTTGGTTCTTACAGGTTAATAATGCATTACGCAACGGCTGGAGGTGAACCGTCACTTCTCACCAGTAAAAATATAATTTGGGTAATCAACTGTTCAACTCTTGAAACATGTCAAATGTTTACCAATTCACCCATGTTCATACTTGAGCCAGAGATGAGGTAAAAGTAGACCGATTCCCCTCAACTTGCGGCTAGATGGGAGACCCTTTAATGCTCTCAGTTGGAGGTCCTCACAAGTACCCAACTAAATTTAACACCATACAGTTTAACTATGATAATAGCCAGAATTTTTATGAACGAAACTAGTAATCATATTCAATGAAGCATGGAGGCGAAGGTCAGAGAGAGACTCTGGTGGTTGTCAAACAACCTACCGATTGTTATCACGAGACTACCACCAGCGTCCTGCGTCGGCAAGGTTTACTCACCTGCGCTCTACGCCATCACAGGTCGAGCCTCCACAAGGGAGACAAGTGAAGGTCAATGGGAAGTCGTATACACCCGTGTAAAAAGCTTTTTTGACAATTTGGGCGCCGATGGTAAAACGGTACCACTCTTGCCTCGCAAGCGAGATGCCACGGGTTCGATTCCTGGGCCGGTGGAAAAGTTGTTTGGACATACTTCCTAGCCCTCATTGGTCCCTGTTCACCTAGCAGTAATGTAGGTACCAGTTGTAAATCGAAAGTTGCGAATTCGTATTCAGGAAAAGTTAGAGCTTCCAATAACTTTGACAAACCATCTACTCTTCAGGCTTCTACGCCCTTACTCATGAGACAAAGGCAAGCATGAACTTAACAGGCTTCCCTGTTGGACGCTGTAAACGCTTCTGCCCTTCACCTTACACAGGATGTAGGGGGTGTGCCAAAAAAAAAAAAAGTTAATTTGGAGGTGCATGGCTGAAAGTAAGGAGACCTGGCCTGAGAACAGACCGCAAGAGCCAGTGACCTGCCAGAAAAATAACACCAACCTTCGGGGAGGAGAGAGAAATATTTATCTAAACTGGCGGAGAATCTTACCCTTATCACACTGAACCAACGGGTATTTGTAGCTGCCCTTCAGTTTCATCCAACACTGACTCCGTGTAGCACCGTGTATGCTGTGCGAGCCAGGACCTGTCAGTACAGAAAAGCACGTCAATCATCTCTACAGTAGCTTATGTTATGCCATAACTTAGCAACTTCAATTACTTTAAAGGTGATTATAATAAGGAGGGCACATCTGCCACAAACAAAAATAATTGGCAACTCCGCACATCTTCGTCCTTAATATTTAGCTCTTAAAATTCATGTTACTACAATACACGACAAACAAAGTTAAATGCAAAAGTTAAACAAACAAGAACGAAATTGTGCGTCACGGATTCAATTACAGCCCTCTTACTTTATCACAACAGTTCAAGAGTGAAGGTTGGGAATTATACAACCACGAAATATTTAAATATCAAGCAAAAGTTTGCCATAATAAGTGTGCAAGTTACATAATGAATGAATAAATTAAAGAATAAACATAATCCGTAATAAATAACGAAAATGTGCAGGATATAAACCATAAACCACTTTACAACACCACAATTGATTGCACTTTACACACAAATAATAGAGCAGCACTGAATATACAATACTCAAACCATATTCGAGAAGGTAACCACCACTGAAACCCAAACATCCCCACACTTCCAATGCCCACCAGTGACTCGCGAAACCCCGTACCCCGGGGGACTACAAGTCTTAACAGCACTCATAAAATCACTCGCATTAATCTGCAAAAATAGTTAAACATACAGGACAATTTTCAGCATCAAGTACCAGCCCTGCTCATACAATTATGCAAAATATTTTACAAACATAAGTTGAGGGTAATGAGCACAAATATTTCACTATACACAACAACGCACCACTGTGCATTATGCCATGCAGAACACTGGACTTTAAATTTTTACGGATATTAAGTTAAGGAATATTCTGAATCGCTTAAACAGGCTACTAATTCTATAAACCGTAGAATTAAAATTTTCTACAATTTATATTTGTAAAGGAATTATAGTACATAAAATAACCATAGAGTAACCTCCCTCCCAGCACCACTAGTCCACTACACATCATTTAGAGACAAAGCGAATACGACAAACCTGACCATAACATACAACCCCTAAACAACAAACCCCTAACCCTTAAGCTATAACCCTTAACCCACTACCCAGCAGCATGTGTAGTGAACACAGACGCCTACCATCTTCCACAGCCTAGTGAACAATAACATTGGTATGGACCGCCTTAACTCCCCTTCGAATACTTAAAAGCTCTCTATTCTTAAGTTTTAATTGGCGTTTTTTATTGATCTAGAACGCACAAAAATCTATAATGATAACTACACACTTACCTACACCACACACTACCAACTCAAGTCTGATTATTCAATACTAAAATTTACACAAATTTCTCACCGCCAAATTTATTCTGAATGTAGTAATCGTAGGTCGGGGAGAAGCAGCACACACTCTCTTTGTTCTCGGCACACTGGTTCTCGAACACTCCTGAAAAGTATACATTAAATTTACATCTTATTTCACGCCATACAACTTAAAAGACCAACACTAATGAAAGACCTAACCGTCCTTGTTTACTGTAGTGCGACAGTCAGTGTCTGATCGCTCACCCGATATTATTGGTCAGTCTGCCCAACCCGCCGTGTTTTACTTAAACCAGTTTTGAAGGAACCGACACCAAAATAAACACCTGTCAGGAGAGGTTAGCCAGAAAGGTAATGTAAGGGCCTGTGTCTAACAATCTGTTAACAGAAGCTGTTATTTCAGTCTCCTCTGATCTAATGGGCCTATGGGTTGACTACATCCTCGAGTGAGGTTTAGAAGAGGGTGTGAGGTGTACCATAGGGGCCCGTGTCCAGGAGTTGATTAAATCCAGTATAACGAAGCTGTACCGAAGTGTTTGAGGGTTAGGTACTGTGCTATAGTGTGCTGTAGATTTCTGTAAACAAGTGTTAATACTTGTATAAAAAAAAAGTGAGGTTAGGGGGTTACTATGAAAATTTGGAAACCTGGCAGGAATCGCCGAGAAATTACGGGAAACCCAGGACGTACACCTTTTGTAACAATGTAATGAGGAACTACGTGAGGAGGCATTTACATATGAAATTTCTGAGGTCATAACATATATGCAGAAAGTTAATTGATGAATTGGTCTCTTTCAATATTGGAGGCAGTTGAAGGGGTTGGCAATTTTAGTGGAGAAAAGCATACTAGTGAACAAAGTGTCAATGGATACGTTAAAATTAGAATTAGAATTTAAGAAAATGCAATTAGAGGTAGAAAGAGAAAAGGAGAGGATACAGGCTGATGAAGTAAAACTTAGGAAATAAGAAGGAGGAGAGGAGAGGACAGGTACAAGGAGAGGAAATGGAGATAAGAGAATACAGTATGTCATTTACCGGAGCTTGTGGAAGAAGCCGAGGATTCTTTATTCAGTTTGAAAAAGTTGCAACTATTAAAAGAATGGACAAAAGTGACTGGGCAATATTGGTGCAGAATAAATTAAGGTGCGAGACCAGAGAGGCATATGCGTGTCTGAGGATTATGAGACTGTTAAAGAAGCAGTGTTGAAGACGGTGGAAATGGATCCAGAAGTGTACAGGAGAAGGTTTAGGGACATTAAGAAAGCGAGTGGACAAACTCATCTTTAAGTAGCTAGAGAACGTGGGATGAGATTTGATAGATGGTGTATCTGTTTGTCATAGATACCCCCAAAATGTTCGACACTACTGATGGTACAGGCAAACACTAGTTATCTTGAAAATAGGTTCTTATTCTCGTACGGGAGACAAATACAGAGAAACAAGTAGACTGGCTTCCACGCCATAAGGACTAGCGATCTCTACTCTATCACTCCGCACTGGCATGCACAGATGCCAGAGTTCACAAGCCGAATACATATGTAAATATGATAATACTTAACATGGTGCATAATAAATGGAAACATTACATAGTATTAATTCATGTTCTGTAATACTTTACTATACATAATTAATAGAGTAATATGAGAATACACTGCTTAAGGTACTGCGTGTCCATATTATACACCTCCCTCCCCCTATACGCTCAGTTTCATCTTGAGCGGACCTTTTGTTTCCGAGTCGCTCGGACCTGCAGAGTACGGGAGCAGAAACACAAGGTGGAGACTCTACTGGGGAAGGGTCAACACTAGGCAGCTCCACAGGTCGGAGGAAACGACGGTTCCTCCACCATACTCTACCACTAGGAAGACGCACTTGGTAGTCCCTGGACCGGCCAATACCCATGACGGGTCTAGGACAACTGGCCGCCGCCATCTGGCCGCAGCCCAACTGGCCGCGGGAAACTCGCCGCGGCCGACTGGCCGCCATATGGAACTTTTTGTTGACAACCTAACCTAACCAAACCAAACCTAACCAAACTGGGCTGCGGCCAGATGGCGGCGGCCAGTTGTCCCATTCCCACCCATGACAACCCCAACCTTGTCGCAGCGGTGAGATACCGGATCTTGAATCCTGACCTGCTGGCCGATACTCATCCTGGGAAGGGGGCAGGCATGACAGTCATACCGAGCAGCGACATTTGTGGCGCGTTCTGCTGCACAGCGGTCACATTCTTTAGTCTTGGCTTGCCATTCTTGAGAAAGAGACTTCGGGTGGGTAGGAACACAAGACCTGAGATGATGTCCATATAGAACCTGGGATGGGGAGCGTCCGGTGAAGTTCGGGGTGTTGCGTAACTAACAAACCTCGATCGAAGTACTCGCAGTCGATATTTCCTGAGGGTGATACCTTAAGGATCAAGTGTTTAACAGTCTTGACTGCAGCGTGTCCATTCGCCTGGGGGTAGTAGGGCGAGGTCACGACATGACGGACTCCCCAACGGTCCATGATGTCCAGGAACTCGTGGCTGGTGAACTAGGGTCCTCCATCAGTCCTGAGACGGAGGGGAACACCAACTTCTGTGAAGTAGTCTGAAATTCCGGATGGTAGCAGTACCGGTTGTATCACTACCACAGGGGACGACAACAGGCCATCCAGACAATCGGTCGGCAATGACGAGGAAGGACTTACTTGCCACTGCAAAGAAGTCTGCCGACACAGACTCGAAGGGTTATCGTCGCACATTAAAGGTTCCTGTTGCTGGCTGGGTTGCAGAATCTGGCACGGCTCACAGGCACGGACGGTACTTGCAGTGTCCCCGTCGATTCCGGGCCAAAATACAGTCTGCTTCGCCCGTCGCTTGGTGGCCTGCACTCCTCGATGACTGTCGTGAAGGCGGGTCAAGGTACGGCGGCGTAGGGCAGCAGGAATGACTACTCGTGGACCATACAAGACGAGGTCTCCGTCACAATAGAGGTCCTCGCGTATCTTCCAGTACAAGAGTAGCAATTCATGAAGGTCTTGTCGATTAGATGGAAATCCCTGGGACACAGTAGACGAGCAGGATGTAGGAAGGGTGGGCTCGGGCTGCAGTGCAGAGATCTTCAAGGGTCTTGTCTGCATCCAGTGCTGTAGACTTCTGATGTGAAGACGGCCTTCAATGAGACTAATGACTTGAGGGATGCAGCAGTTGTAGAACACAACATCTCGTCCTCTGGGGTGGGGCGACTGACAGGGGCGCAGGACAGGGCATCCGGGATGCACAGCAGCTTACCCGCACGCCACACAGCCGTGAAGAGATAAGACGAGAGCTTCTCTTTCAAACGTTGAAGGCGAGGATTCTCTGCTGCATCCAAAGAGTAGTGAATGATAATAGGTACAAGAGGGCGATGATCCATAAAGAGGGTGAAGTGCTGAAGTCCTATCAGGTAGAAGCAGCACTTCGCCATAGCCCAGACACCTCCAGCTCAATCGTGGCATATCGGGTCTCGGCGTCCATCAGGAACCGGGATCCACACTGAATTAAGCCGAGTTGTCCACCGCCATGGTCCTGCAGAATGGCGTAACCAACGCCGTAGAGTCTGGAGGCGTCAGTCTGGAGGACGGTGGGTAGGGCTGGGTCGTAACAGGCGAGGACAGGTGGACTTAAGAGGGCCTGCTTGACTCGCTGGAAGGCCTCTTGATGATCTGGGGTCCACAGGAATGTCCTCCTGGGGCTCAGGTGAAAATTCAGCCAGCCGATTGACCAGACCCAAAAAAGAAAGGAGGTCTGTCAGGTTGGCAGGGGTTAGAAAATCCCCGATCCCACTTACTTTCTCCGGGTCAGCTGCGATGCCTGATGCTGAGAGAGAGTACCCACAGAAGTTCACTGATGGAGCGGCGACTACAAACTTGTCAGCGTTGAGGGTAATCCCGTACTTTCGACATCTGGTGAGAACTTCATATATCCGGGAGAGGTGGGCACAGTAGTCTTCGTCGTGGAGTAAGATATCATCAACCATCTTGACACAATTCGTGACTCCTTGAAGGGCCACGTCACCACGTTGACAGAATGCATCGCCAGTAGCGGCAAATCCCATGGGGCCTCTGCAATACTGATATCTTCCATATAGTGTGATGAATGTAGTCAAAAGCTGGTCGTCTTCGGCCAACTCGATCTGCCAATAACCACCTAAGGCGTCCATCGTTGTAAAAAACTTCGCCTTCGGGTCCACGCTTCGAACAGCTGCGAAGGGGTGTGGGTGAAGGGTGGGCTGGACGGGAAACTTGCTGGTTAAGTTTTGATAGATTGGTGGTGATCCGTACTCCACCACGAGGTTTGGCGACAGGGACGAGAGGGTGGCACCAAGGTGAAGGTTCGTCTCCGGCCGGCTTGATTCCCTGAGCAACCATGGAGTCAAGCTCTTGTCTAACTAGCTCCTTGTAGGCGTGAGGAATCAAACGAGGGGTGTGGATGGCAAAAGGTGTGGCACCATCCTTAAGAGGAATCTTCATAGATGGACCCACCATCGGCTGAGTGGTATGTATTCTAAAGATTTCTTCGTAACCAACGTCAGCAAACTCCTTGAGAAGGTAAGCTCTTGCATCAGAAGGGGACGTGTTAGTACAGATAGGGAGTTCCTTCAACCTGTTGACATGGGTGACCTTTAAAATAGGTTTGGGGAATTCCTTGGAAATAATGGCCAACTCTTGACAATGGCCATATGATAAAAGCGGAGTCGGGATCCCATCATGAACATCAATCCGGGCTGAGCAAGACTGCTTACCAAAGGTAAGAGTAGCCCAGAAAGATCCCAAAGCTGGAGCCATCTTGGAACCATCAGCTGTCAGCTTCGTTGTCTGAGGAGGGGGCTGTAGGTTGCTTCGGGGTATTCCCAAACTTGCTAAGTGTTGTGGAACAATTACCGAGACGTCAGCACCAGTGTCAGGTAACATCTGAAGACTGGATGACAAGTTACCGTGAGAAATGACGACATTGATGTGCTGGGGCGTCGTGTTGTGGAACAAAGTACACGACGGCCGGAACGACTGGACACAGCGCCTTGATGCTTGCCAGAAGGAGGGGGCGTGCCAGCACTACCTGAGGATGACTTCTTGGATCCTTGGTGGTGTCCCGTCTGTGTCTTA